GAATGAGAGAAGAAGAAGAAGTGTACCCTACGAGGTTTGAACACGAGACACTGTCTATTACGCTCCGAGAGCGAGTACAGATGTAAACGCGAATGTCTCTCGCGCGCTCTCTCCGAAAGTGAAAGATAAACGGGAAAGATGAGAAGGCAGGTTCACACCCTGACCATACTTCTTCCTAACTCTGTCCTGAAGAATGCTTCTCTTCGGTGCCACATCTGTCACTTCTCTCTGTAACTATTCACTAGACGCTTTCCGGTGTATCTCACTCTTTCTCTCACACACATACACACTGATTTACATATACACACACACACACACTCGCTCGCCCGCTCCGCTCACGGATTATTACCGATTTGCTAACGACGATGCCGCAAGGGAAGCAGGTTTTTTACCGCTTATGTCGTTACACGCTAACTCCACTTTTTTTCAGGCACCTTTACCTTCCCGACGTATCTTTCGTTACGTTCCACATATCACAATCCATGTGTACGTCGCACCAGACTCATCACACCGCTTGCTTCTAGTTCGAAGTGATTCTTTTTATTTTTTGTTTCTCTCTCTCTTTCTCTCTCTCTCTCTCTCTCTCTCTCTCTCTCTCTCTCTCTCTCTCTTGTTTTCGTAGTGTCCTTCGTACGAAGTTGTGATTGTTAGCCGACTAAGAATTCCTGGTCGTTATAGCAATTGGCGTCACTTCCTCCTTAGGTCGTAGGGTAATAATCGCTGGACACTCAAAGAGTCTTACGTCTCGCCAGAGAGCTAACCGAATTCACAGAGTAGAACTTGCCTTTTTTCACTTTTGTTTTTGTTTCTTCAATTGTTTTTTCTTTTTTTTTTTTTTTTATCTTGCTCCACTTGTAGCACCTTTAGGCTACCTTACTGTACATAACGTCAGAGCGAAAATAAATATGCGTTACTTAGTGTAAAGAGTCGTTCGAGAAGTCGTATACACGGTGTATAGTGTGTGTACTTTGTGCAAGTGAGTCACGATTAGTGAGCAATGCGATAAAAGCCCGGCTATTATCGGACGTTATCGCATCAAACGTTGCGGCGCGACGCGATATTGCGAAATTATTATTATCGAGGAAAAAAACGAAAAGAATATACCGGTATCTGTGTCATGTAATAGGTAAGTTATCCGTGACGGAAAGAGTATCCATTCTCTTCTTCCCTTTTCTTTCTTTTTCTTTTTTTTGTTTTTTTTTTTGTTTGCTTTACCTACTCGAGACACTACCGTGACGACATAAAGTGCTGCCTGAAATCTCACTTTGTGACAACAGCGTTATCTCTCCTCTACCTCACGCAAATGAAACAAACCACACTGATAAGTCGAGGACGCTAAGTGTATTTCGTGTGAATCGTCGTGTATTTCCGTGAAAAATCCTCCGCACGCACGAGAGAGAATCTGTAAATATGTATTATTATTCCATGTGTGTGAAATTGACGATTTTTCAGCACGGACATGTTTTCGTATTTCAATTGCGGCTGCCGAAGTTCGCCGTTAACTTGTAACAAACGTTCACACGTGCCGCTTTGCGTGCCAATAATAATTCTGTATTCAGCCGTGCATCTCGAGAGCGAATAATCGTCTCAAGCGAGCAGACAGTGGCCGGACTATGCAATCACCTTGTCCGAAGGTGCCCGATTCTGGTCGTCATTAACGTGCGTTCTTTTGAATTCTAGGATTCATGGCAGCCATTAGGAAGAAGTTGGTTATTGTGGGTGACGGTGCTTGCGGTAAAACATGTCTACTCATAGTGTTCAGCAAAGACCAGTTCCCTGAAGTGTACGTACCGACAGTATTCGAGAATTATGTCGCGGACATCGAGGTGGATGGCAAACAAGTACGTATTCTCGCAGATCTCACTCGATTTTCTCCGTTTTGATCCCATTAACGAACGGACGACTCTCGTCATCTTTCTCGAAACAGGTGGAGCTGGCTCTTTGGGACACAGCTGGACAAGAAGATTACGATAGGCTGCGCCCGTTGTCGTATCCAGACACGGATGTCATCCTAATGTGCTTCTCCATCGATAGTCCCGATTCCTTGGAGAACATTCCCGAGAAGTGGACACCAGAGGTGAAGCACTTCTGCCCGAACGTGCCGATCATCCTTGTGGGAAACAAGAAAGACCTGCGCAATGATCCCACTACCATCAAGGAGCTCAGCAAAATGAAGCAGGAGCCGGTCAAGCCGGAGGAGGGAAGGGCCATGGCTGAGAAAATCAACGCTTTCGCCTACCTTGAGTGTTCTGCCAAGAGCAAGGAAGGTGTGAGGGAAGTCTTCGAAACGGCAACCCGAGCTGCATTACAAGTACGTAATTTCCAAGTAGTTGATCATAACGATAGTAAAAGGCTAAGAGATACACTAGTCTCATTGATTAAGAGCTCAAAAATAACTTTAAGAGAAATATTTAAAGAATATTTGAAGATACATATTTCTGCTTCAACAGTGTATTATTGTATCGTGTTGCATATTAAATCACTCTGAGGTATCCTAAAAATAGCAATTTCTAAAAATACTCGTTGAATTCATTTACTGCACACGGAAGGATTACAGTTTAATAATCCAGTATGTTTAATGATTCAACGATTCTTTAGATGGGCACACTAGTTATTGTACTAACATGTCTGTGTCGTGAAATCGTAGGTAAAGAAGAAGAAGAAGGGCAGATGTAGGCTTCTTTAAAGCGTAACGCCAAGTGAGCCCGATAATATGGGCGAAATTTATGGAATTGCGGAACTAGCTGCAGCGAAGCTAGTCGTAATGCCGGAGACACCCTGTGGAAACCATGATACACATATATGTACACATACACGTACACATACACACATCTTTAATTATTTTACATAATAAAACAAGTTTGCAACAACAAAAAGGAAAAAAAGAGAAGGTGCAACCACGTTACACACATAATACACATACAACACACGACACATACACACACTCACGCATACAAAACACACAAATGTAAGCAGTCGTCGACGACACAGAAGGACTTTCAGAAGCGCTGAAGTAAATTCAATACAAGTATACCTTATTATTATATACGAAAACCTGTAATGTATATTGTAATGACCACCTTGATTGTGTATTTTTTAACAGTAATGAATTGTGCTTCGAGTTTAAACGACTGTCAAGAACCTGTCATTTTATCTTATGTACTTGGCGTTGCGACGCCACCACGTCGCTCGACTTAAACGGAAACAAATGATTGTCATACCAACAACTATCTACATCTACGGTACACAATTATCTTTATCATGGTAGTGATTATTATTAGTATATCTCATTATTATTATTTTTTATTAATATTATAATTATTATATGCATTCTACAAGTCTCTTTGTTTTCTTTTCTTTTTAACGTAGCGGTTCTTTATTTTGGTAAATAAACAAAGTAAAACAAAAAAGAAAAATCCCGAGCGAGTTGAGAGAGGGAATACGTAGAGAAAGAAACGGTGAATGCAAGAAGCGCAGAGCGTGCAAGAGTCAAAGTGAGCAATACGGAGAAGTTACAAAAAAAAAGGAAGGATGTCGCGAAAGTATCTCGAGCCTTGCATCGCTAATTTCACTAAAAAAAAAAGTCGTCGCCGTTATTGCCTCTCGAGAGAGCGAGAAAATGTGGCATTTGTTACATTATAAACGTGAATGGATTAAACTAACAGACCGCCCTGATGTTTAAGATACCACAATTAGAGACTAAATGTATTATTATATTTTATTATTATTACTATATCTTAGAGTTATATTGTGTATTGCGATGACACTAACATAACGGATTGTAACAGCGGCTGCATTATATTCGTGTATTTCGCGGAACGCGTTCCTCATGTCTAACCGAGCCGACGTGGGGTTTGCGCTTTTTTATACACGCATACATCATCGATATCTTGAGAGCATGTGTAGTTACTCTGTTGAAAAGTCGAAGATTATCGTTCGTGCGTCGTGATATCGTCGCAACCACGTCGACGAGTTTTTACGTGTGTATGTCACAATTGTCCAGCATTCGGAGAAGTCGCTTCGCGAAAATTTCTCACACCGACTTTGTAGCGACCGTATCGTTTTGTCTCGCCATTCTTCTCGTCCGCTTCGCTTGTGTTGTTCTACGCGCCGTGGTGAGACACGAAAATGAGGAGAAACAAAAGAAAAAGATATGTCACTCGTTCCCTTGTCGTGAACGGAAATGATGTCGCAACAGCGTTGAATCGACGACCGCGATCTTCTCCCGGCCGTCGATTCAACGAACCGCCGTGGATTGTGTTTATCAAGATCATCTACTTCTCCCCCTTTAATTTAACGTCAAATAATTTCTCCCTTCCGAGAAAGAGGCGCGACGATGTGTGAATAGATCGAAAAGCCGGTGGAAGCAAATTGTTCTCGCGCCGATATGAAATCAGCACGTTTGCGATGTGCACGATTTATTCGCGTTATTTGCCGACTTGTTTCTCGAACGTGTTAGAGCGATATAGCGAAAATAACGACAGCCCTGTGACACGCAGTGCGCTTTTACGGAACTTTTCGGAGCCGTACATGAGAACGATATACGTAAAAGAAAGAACAGGAGAGCGTTTACGCGACGACTTAAGATACTTCTGCCATGAGCGAACGCACGCACGATGATGATGGGATCTGTAGGGAAGCGTGAAAGAGGGAAGAACGGAGAAGGTGTATTAAAGCGATCGAGAACGAGCCTTGTATAATGAGCGCTTCATTTGGGAAATGCGCGCTTTCGGATCCACGCCTCCGCTTCTCCATGCAAGTCGCGCGCGCGCGTCTGCTGCGAAGCTCGAAAGTGTTCTTTTTATATAATGAGTTTCGTGGATATACCGTTATATATATATATATATATATAAATATATATATACATACTTATATACATACATAATTGTATCAATCACGCACCCGAGACTATTGTATATACGTATTTTATAAAAAAAAATATATATATATGTATAATATATATAATGTATTTATATATATTATACACATATATATGTAAACTCTCTCTCTCTCTCTCTCTCTCTCTCTCTCTCTCTCTCTCTCTCTTTACAGCGTGTTCTCTTTATACGTAGTAGACAACACGCGATTTTTCGAGTGTGTACCGGGTTTTCTCTCTTTTTTCCTTTCTTTATTTTTAAAACACACGCTGGCTTTTCTCTACTTCCATGGCGTAAACAGAGAGCAATAATTAAGAGTAACGAGCGCGGGCCTGATCGATAGTCTCACGAGCGGATGTCCGGGTCCGACGAGCCACAGATTTCGATAAATATGTATTTAATATCAGCGATGCATATATATATATATATACATATATGAAAAAGAGGAAAGTCGAGTTTTTACTTCTCCGAGAACTGAGCACTGAGGATAATACGCGTGTACCTTATATGCGCACACACAAATACACGTACACAGAGACACGTAAATGAAGTATCTTTTCCTTGAAGGGCCCCGCGCGAAGCTCCGAGTTTGTCGATAACGCGTTTTTAATCGCCGTAAGCCAATCATTCTCTCCGTAAGTAGACGAGATATTTTTTGAGACTCGAATGTAATTGAATAACGATTTGTACCGCGAGTAAAGTAACCGGCGAGATACCGCGATGAATAAACCAGTTTTGTATGATCAGGAGAAGAAGGAGATCGTCGATCCTCTGTGACCTCCGAAATCTCTCTGTACCACTTTACATCCTTCTCTCTATTACTACTACTACTACTACTACTATTTCTATCACTACTACTACTATTACTACAACTACTACAACAACAACAACTACTACTACTTCTACTACTACTTAGCTTTTGTATGTAAGACTGTATGATTATCCTACAAACGCTATGATAACAGATTGTAACTAACAATAAACATTTCTTATGACGATGTAAGTCAATGAAGGTGCTGCTGCCGTCGCTGAATGACATCCATTGTACAGCGCGAACGTAGGAGTAGAAAATGGAATACTCTGTACGCATCCTGGACGAGAAGAGATTTTACAATCCAACGATTTCTAGATCCTTATGCGAAGTAGCATTCTTGTCATTCTTGAGCAACCTATGGCTTCTGGTATCTCTTTCACTTTGTGTGATACGACCACACGACTGTTTATCTTACATTTCACACGAATGGCAAGGTCGCCTCCACTTACATCTATTTGTGTCATTTATCACCAAGGAAGGGAGCACAGATCTTTCGAGACATTTTGTATAAAACAATTTATTTCGGTTGTTCTTTGTATAAACGAAAATTGATTCTTCCTAACTTAGATTAGTTCTGTAATATAATCGAAACACGCAATATTGGAATGGAGCTTACTTATCGGAGGATATAGGAAGCCACCGCGTAGCGCCTCCTCAAAATAGTAGATTTTTGCAGTTTGTCAAAACAACTGGAAAGCATGTCGCGGGCAAAATCTGAAATCAGTTCTGTTACGCTCGCACATCTCGCATTTTCGCCTCGCATTCTTATACAATTGTTACAAAGTGTACAATAATACATGTAGACAATCCCTATGTTAGAGGACACACTCCCGAATGTTCTCCACCCTCGCTTCGCCACTTATTGCAAACGTCTCGCGCGGCAACATTGTGTTATTTGCACTCTCAGTTAGCTAGTTCGTTCTCTGGTCATACGCGGTCCGCGCCCACGACGTTTGAGCCGTTCAGAGTTAGAGCGAAGTGAGTACACAGCGACCCAAATATCACTTCCAAGATCCAGCCTCAAGTGAATGGAAAAAATTTGCGCTTATAAGATTATCACGAGCCTACTTCATAACGTTTTTTTTTTTAATTTTGCCCGAAATATGAATTCAAGACTGTCGGACACCTTGTAGGCTCTTCGAGATTCGTGTTAAAAACACGATGTTACGTTTAAAGAAAATCTCACAAACTGTCGGCTCACGTTCGTTTCTGAACGCCTCGCTCGTTCCTCCACTGCGTTTGTGTGTTACATAAGGTAAACGTCGTGTAACGGATCGCTCAACTGTGATGTGTACGATCTTGAAATGTAACGGGAACGAACTTCGCGAACTTTCTCCCTCTCTCCTCTCTCTCTCTCTCTCTATCTATCTCCCTCGTGAATGACGTCACTTACAACTCATCGGTCCTGGGCTTAATCGGCTTGCCCTTGCGATCGTAGCCCTTGAGTTCATCAGTGGCGTGCTTAGCGACGTACTCGATGAGATCTTCGAGGCCGCGTTTGCCCTCATACTCAATCGGGCTATTCTTGGAGTCTTTGGGCGCCCAATAGAGAGTTGGGAAGCCGCGTACGTTATAAGGTGCCGGCACGTCGTTCACTGTGGCGTCGAACTTGACGATTTCCACGTCCTCGTCAGCCATCTTCTCGCCCAGCTGATCATACACCGGCGCGAGCTTCTTGCAGTGGGCACACCATGGCGCGTAGAACTCGATCAGCGTGTCTTTGCCGTTATTGTTGACCACGTCGTCGAAATTCTTGGCCACTGCGATCTTCACATTACCGGTGTTGCTATCCGGGATCGGCTCGGACTTGAGGTACGGCTCCAGCGTGCCGCTCTGCAGATCCTTCAGGAACGACTCGAACGAGTCGACGGAGAACTCCTCCTTGAGCAAGAACTTCTGGTTACTGGCGTCTCGCACCAGAACCACTGGTTTGTCGTTCTTCACGAATTCGATGCCGTATTCGTTCAGCTCGTGTTGGAAGTCATCCTTGGAAGATATGGCGAAATTGTATTCAGGGAAGTCCTTGGCGACCTTCATGATCCTGTTGCGCCAATAATTGGTGCTCTTGGCATTCTTCGCGTAGTCCACGCTGTAGTAGGCGACTACTAGTGGGTTTTTGAAATCGTCCTTGTTGTCGCGCGTACGAACGCCAGCTAAACCGAATCTGTAACAAAGTTTTACGTGACAATTATAAGAGGACAATTTCATACGCGTGCGGAATTCTTTCGACGGGGAAACGATACTCACTGATTCTTACTGATAAAGTCGTTGATGTCGCTGATGGAGTCGCCGCCGTCGTACACCACGTTGTTAGGCTCAAACTTGTTGTGCAGCTGCTTCGGTCGGTAAAGCACAATAGTGTTTCTGAAACAATAAGTACATTAATGCGAACGTTCCTACAATAGCTCATTCCCCTTCACGAGCTGCAAAGAAACATACTTGTGTCCCGCTGACTCCAACAGCTGTTTTGTCGAGGTGTGCGCGAATCTGACCTTCCCTCGGAGCTTCTTAGTAACCGTGAGATACGCCGCAGCCAACGGAGAATCGTCCTTTTCGAAGTAGCCCACCACACCGACATCATCTCCATCCAAGAAGGACTTGTAGGACTTCTCGTTAGTCAAGTCCTGAGATGCCGGTCCCACTTGAGACTGAAAGTCAAGTAAACGAAATGAAAATGAGATACAAAATATTCCAACATATGTAAAAACTTTCTAGATTAAGATCTAACATTATCTAAAATGAGATAAAAATGAGAAAATTGGAAGTAAACATAGTCTTTTTGGAAATTACTAAGCTGAGTATGATAATAAGCAATAGACTTTACCTTCATATATTTGGCGATGCCAGATGCTTCTCTGGGACCGTTGTAATCAGACCTCATTTCGGCACCTTCGAAAATCTTAAGTGTAGGGTAGCCACTGACACTATATTTGTTGCAGGTGTCCTTTCCAGCTGCTGTACAATCTATATTAGCCAGTGTGATTGGTGGTTCACTACCTAAGAGCAGCTCCGCTGCCTTGGAGTATTCTGGTTTCAAGCGTTTGCAATGTCCACACCTGATAATAAGATTGAAATCATATTAATGGTTGTGTAATAATAATCATATATTAAGATCCTGTTAATGTTTGTGCAATGATAATCACACACACACACACATATCACACAAGCTTGTTAATGAATTTATTTATGAGTTCTTATCTCAGAAGTGTATCCAGATGATAACTGTGAATAATTTAAGTTTCCCAAAGTTCAAATTCCTTGCAAATACATTGAAATTATACGATTCAAGAATATTTTTTCATACCTTTGCTTTATGGTAAATGAAAGATTCTTATCTCAAGATTAGCTGCATATTGTTACATTTTCTGTATTATGATTGAAATGAGCTTATTTCCAGCATCCAGAAGAGACAAATTAAACAAAGTATAGAGAGTGAAGCTTAAAAAAATGCAAAGATGAAATGAAAAAAAAAAAAACACAAAGAGACACGTCATGTGAATAGCTAAAGAGGTATGAAGAAAGCGAATGTTGTAATTTTCCTTATCAAATTCGCTCTTTCGCAAAAAGATAAAGCGTCAACGGCGTTCGTCCAACTCGAATTTATCTAAGGGGACATCAGAATTTTTAATACGTCATCAGGTCGAACGGAAGAAGGCTCCATGCCGGCATTCGGTGACGATTGCGGCTTCGCCGTATATGGGAGCGAATAAACATTTTTTTGTCCTATCAAGAGGAAGATACGAGCTCTAAGCAGCTGGCAACAGTGCGATATAATCGCACCCTTCGTAAAGATAAGGAACTTCTAGTAAATCAACGAAAATGTCCCGTTCTCTCTGCACTTTCTATACTCTTCCGTGACTCTCCTGACATTCTGTCTTTAATCAATTACTTCAGCTTGATAAAAGCTGAAGTATAAAAGCGTATAAAAGATGATATATTCAATAGACGCATTTAAAGGGCGCAAATAGAGTAACATAACGTAGCTATGACAGATGAGTTGGACGATTCCGACAGCCGCCTCTCTCTCTCTCTCTCTCTCTTTCTGTCTGCTGTTTGTCTCTCACCATGGTGCGTAAAACATGACGAGTGTGTTCTCGTGACGCGCGAGCTCGCTGTCGAAGGTCTCATCGGTGAGCTCCAGGACATATTTCTCGTCGGCGAGTACGCCGAGCAGAAGCAACGGCAGGATTGTCAGGCACTTTCGCAGCATCTTCGGTGGCGGCCAATCACTCACGAGTCGAACTACGGTCTATCTGGCACTGACCGTCGACAGTCGTCGCATACGTGGCCGTTCTACAGTATGCGGCGGTTACCGGTACACGGCGCGGCTCGCGAAGTGTTGTCGCACGCCGATTGGTCGGCCAGCTTCCCCACCTGTCCGCTCGCGTGCACACGGAGTGAGGAATTGGGCGCGTGCCGTCGCCGTTATCGTCGACGTTTGCTTGGACAACGAATAAAGTAAAGCCCGGAGTTTTTCCCATTAAATATGTATCTTTCGTATCTTTGCGATATGAATTAGTTTTTGAAGATCTTCTTTAACGCGTCTCGATATCTGGCGTATTAATTATTGAAATGTAGAGCCATTTATATATACTTTCCACGAGATATATACAAGATTTAAATATTTAATATCGAGATTATTAGTTAGTACTTTTAACAAGACTTTTGGAGGAAAGCTAAGACGTCCCGAAGCAAAGAGAGAGAAAAGTTTGATTTTCAAGAGAACTTTCAATTTCATCTTTCATTTTCTTAAAATTTTTATTTATGTTTTTAATTATTTTAACATATACACAAATACTCGAGCATATTGCATATTTTTAAATATACTTCTCAAGTCAAATATTTAAATTGTTGCAGATTAAGAAGTCACCTAATTAACATAATAATTAAATATAAAACATATATAACAAAAATACATTTATGAAATATACACGTAAATTAACACATTTCCATAATCGATTAAGTGATATAATTGAGCAAACCAATTACTGTTGTGACGTGTTATTTGAAAACAACCCAGCCAGAAATGATTCGTCAATCGATGTCGAAACGATGTCGAAACGATGTCGAATCGATGTCGAATCGACATCAATTTCACAATTTCGATGTCGATTCGACATCGTTTCGATATCGATCAACGAATCATTTCTGGCTGGGAAGATTCGTCCGATTCGTCGTTGACTCGTACTACTTGGTTGACTTATGTTAAATCGCGCTACGACCTCAACTTGTTGGTGGCGGCTCGTAACAAAGACTCTGGAACTAATTTGCAAAAATAAGGGGTCTAAATCGAGAGTACCATATTTTTAGACCCGTTAATTTTGCAAATTAGTTCCGAAGTCTCCGCTACGAGTCGCCCCGTTCCTGAATGACCAATTGAGATCGTAACGCTATTCAAATAAATCAGCCGTATAAGTCAAATAATATAAGTCAACGATAAATTATATACACGACATAACAGCAATTAGTTTATTTACTTATATTATTTGGTCGATAAATTTATACAGATATGCTCATATACTTATGTAAATATACTATTGTTACATCTATACATGGTCCATTGAGTTAAATAATTTCTTACTCAATTCGTTATTTAGTTATTTCAGTTGAAAAAAATATATTAGAAAACTTACGTGTCTATTGAAGTTATTGAAAACGTATAAATATTTAAAAAATACACATAGATATTTAAAACTTACATATAAATTACACAGATAGTTGGTGTCTCGAATATTATGACGTTTTTTACGAAATATTTAACTTAATTTTGAAAAATGTGTAGAAAAATATACACGTACAAATATACAACCTACAAATATTTACCTTTGCGCGCGTATTACAATAATTAAACATATAAATAAAAATAAATTAAATATAGGGGAGAAATCGCGTGCTAGTCGTGATTAAATTTTCGATCGCTCGATGTGTATGCTTTTTAATTGCATTAAAATAAAAAACAAGTCCTGGTGGCGATGGAGAAAAATGTAAGATTTCTTTTTTTACTCTAGGAAACTTTTAATAATCAAAAGTCCCTCCGTCCATATACAAGTCTGATATAAGACTATTGATACAACGAAGACAGGTTCCGTCCATTTACACGTTGTGTTCCTCATATATATATAATTTATATATATATTTTTATGTATATATATATAATTATATATTTATATATGTATACTGATTATTTACAAAAATCGTTACATGTATATAAACGACGACATTCATAAACGCGTAATTCAGGAGAGAAGATGGAAACGCATTCGTGAAGGAAAGAGCGGGTCACGTTCGCATTAAATTCTGCAAAATTCGGAGGGTCGGCGAATTTTTCGGCGGTGTCGGCGAGATCTGGACGCGTTTGGATTAGCTTGCCGATACTTTGCGAGCAACACTGACATTCTTTCTTCGATTGTCTGAACTGAAGCGACAAGGTGCAAGTGTCTCGGCCTCCTGTTTCGTTCCTTCGAGCTGTACCACGTCGTGTCTGCCGCGCTTCAAAATCAAAGTATGCAACGACAAGTATAGAGAAATGAGAAAACTTACACAGAGATATACGACGGTTAACACGAACAAAATACACAGACTTGGAGCGAAGCGCTCTCGACGGATTAATAAATGAAACAGAAACTCCCCTTTGTGTCTCTCAGTTGCCCTCGCGAGTTTAAATTATTATAAATATCAGTCTTCAATTACATACTAAATATATATCTCGATATACTTCTACTAAACAACATCCATACTCAATTATGCTAGATATTACGATTCGTATTTCTCGTGTCGGGGGTTCTCTTCTCGAATTATTGTCCGAGTCCGAATCGCCGTTCCCTACTGATTACCGGTCGGAAAGCAAAACGATTCTGCGATTGCGCTCGTCGATTCTATTCTCTGACAAGTGTCGCTACCGCTAGCAAAGCTCTCTCGATATCACTGCTCGCGTCTCGCACATGAATCGTCATTCCTCACGAAGAGACGTAAGCTTGTTCCGTAACGTGTTCTTTGCTTCCTTTCTGTTTCTTTCTCTTTATCTCCCTCTGACTCAAATCTTATGCCTTAGGCCAGAAAGAAAAAGAGAGAACAAGAAACAGGAGGCAAGGAGCACATTCTAGATTAAGCTGCAGTTGCAGTAAAAACGGAAAGACAAGGCCGGGGAGATCCTCGCGGCCCTGACGGCTCAAAGCCGCGCGCGCGCGCACGACATACACACAAGAATGTATACAACGCTACAAAATAAACATATATAAATATACTACTACAAATACGTTTCCTTTTATTTTATTTCGTTATAAAAAACGTCAAGGTATAAAATATCGCAAAACGCGGCTAAATCAATTTGGAGAGGACGAGTGGTAGACTCTCGATCATCCGCTGAGAACATGCTAAAATTGAGATCTTGCTTCGCGTCTAGTCGTCCGAACTGAAAGTCTCTGTATTTGCTCCGTGAGACGACGAGATCGGCGAATTAACGAGTATACAATCGACGAATTGCGTTTCGCGCAACACATTTTCTCCTGCGCGTAGGGTGCGGCGTGCGTGTGTGTGAGCGTGTGAGTGTACACCGTGATTTTTCTCCTCGCAATTTGCCATCGTTACTCCAGGGGTGCTCGCAAAGTATGCAGAGAGGACTGCGAGGAAAGGAAAAAAAAAGAGATGATGAATCAAAGCTCTCGAGATGGAAAACGAAGCACAACAGCGCGGATGAGAACACAATACATGCGGGTTGTGCGACAAAGTGTGTGAAGAGAGAAAGGTATGACGATGATAATGATAATAATATTAATAATAATAATAATAATAATAATAATATCAATAACAACACGCAAGTGTACGAAGGGACGAGCGCGCGAGAGAACGCAAAAGTAAATCGGGCTTTATAATACACATCATCCGATGCAACTGTACAACTATAATACATTCGTACATCAGCCGATGCTATAAATAAGGGAAACAAGGTCCGTACGCCTACGTTCTTATCACAGGCTACGTTAGAGACAACGCAAGGATATTCGTATTCGTAACGGGAGGTGAGAGGTGGTGATGGTGATGGTGGATGCGCGGGGAAGAGGAGACGGGCCCGTCTCCCCGGATCAGCGAGAAGAGACAAGCGGAAATCTTAACGGACGTATCGTAGAAAAAGTGGTTTTTCTCCTTTAGGCTTCGCGAGAGAAGACGCTCGATGGATACGTGTCGAGGGATGACGATGGTGATGTAGCCGTCGGTGACGATGACGATGACGATGATGACGATGAGGAGGAGAAGGAGCGAAGGACGAGTCGCGTTGCGAAGCTTGGTGATCGTTATCTCGCGCTCACTACTAATTATTGTTATTACTGCTACGTCGTCGTCGTCGTCGTCGTCGTCGTCGTCGTCGTCGTCGTCGTTGGCGGCGGCGGCGAGTACCTCTTCGTTACTCGGTAGATTCGTTTCTTGTGCTATTGCTTAACCGTTACAACGTGGACACGAGAGTGCGACGAAACGAGGCTGCGATCGCGGGTCTGCGTCGGTGCGGCGGTTGTCCAGGTCGCTCTGTCCTCGTTTCTCAAAGCTTGAGATAATTGATACAAGCGCAAAGATTAATTAATGCGTCAGATCTAGCGAAATGAATGTCATTCTTAAGAATGAAGAAAATACTCACGGATATATATAAAAGTAGTATTAGTGAAAAAGTGCCTCGATCAATTTAATTATCCTGACTCCGAGGCCGGTATTTATAATTGGAGATTATATTGAAGAACGTCTTAAGTTCATCTTCGCAGCTTAATAAAACGTCTCACATAGTATCTGAAAATGAACCTAAGACGAACTTAAATGTAAGACTCTACTATAAACACCGCCCTAAAATTTCTTAAACCACAATTGCAAATGATTTGCATCCCTTGATCGAGAGCACGATTTATTACAACTGTCTGGTCATTTAAGTGAATATTTCTTATATGAAATAGACGCAAGTCGACTGATAATCGAAGATTCTTGAGGCTGTTTGTTAAAAATTTTAATGATAATCAATTTGTCACATAATCGCGGGCTACGAGTCGGATATTCTTGCAATTTTCGCGAGAAATTCGATTAGACCGCCGTCGCGGCGAACGACTCCGCTCGATCGCACTTGAAGGCATGGCTTTGCGCCAGAGGGTTCCCGGACAAATGATAGTCGCGCGAAAAATGATAGCGAGTCGCTCGCGAGAGCTACTTTACACGAAATACGCACGACAGATTCGCTAACGAAGAAGCTTAGCGGAGGCGATTGCACCAAGCGGCTAATAGCAGAGAAATCGTCTGCACAAACGATTCTAACAGTATCGCGTAGAGACGGGAAAAAGTGCCGTAATACATTATATCTAAGCTAACCATCAAAGTGTACGCGACTCCTGCCGGCAAAATGAGATCAATGAAACGGTGCAAGCGACTCTCGGTAACACACGTGTGATCTTACAATTGTGGCAAAATTTCGCAAGTGCTCCAAACTGAACGATTCGACATACACGTAAAACGGACGAAGATAAAGAGACGGAGAAGAACAAGAAGAAGTACAAGAAGAAGAAGAAGAAACATCTCCCAAGCGCTTCGACACACGCCAGCCACTTCAACATCGTCGACGCGAAAACGCCGGTCGCGTCGTTATTATTCCAGTAGTCTTCTCGACCGTTTCGCGCGTTCTAGATCCCGCACGTAAAACATCGACGTCTTTTCATTCCTATTAAGAACATTATACAATTACGTACGTACGAATGTATAAAATCTTTTTTTCTTTTACGACTAAACGGGAATGTGTACGATCCGTTCTTTCTCTCTTTCTCTCTCTCTCTCTCTCTCTCTCTCTGCTTCTGTATCTGTCTTTCGCTGCAGCGCGTCCTTGATCGTAGAAATATCGTTACAACGTTTTATCCTTACAAATACGGAGCGTATAGCATGTTCCGTGAGACGCGCGTTTCGCTCTGGCGAGCCGACTCTTCGAGAGAAAGTCACTCTAGTTTATCGTAGGTGAGATTTTACTCTTGTTTTCCTTCTCTCTCAAGATCAGGAGCTTCTGATCCAGTCGAAACGTGCCCCTCTCGAGACGGCGAAGTAACATCGACGTTCCTTACGGGAATGTTTGCGGTTAATCTTCGAATTACAAAAGTGTGTTGTTGCGTTTTCTTTTCTCTTTCACTCTCACTCTCTCTCTCTCTCTCTCTCTCTCTCTCTTTCACTCTCTCTCTTTCTTTCTCTCTTTCACTCTCTCTCTCTCTTGTTCGCATAGTGGCTTCAACATTCACGGGCGATTGAGTGTCTCTCGCGAGTGTATTCGCTGTCGGTTTACGCTCGGACAGCGTGGGCGCGCGCAAGCTTACTTTCGAATGTTGAGCCGCCGAAAGGCATATGTATACCTGCCACTTACGATCTCGTTAACATCGACTTAAGTTATGGCACACCTACGAAAAAAGAGCGTCCCGCGTCTCTCAAAAATCCATGAATTCACGTCGCGAACTCGCAATGTCTGGACTCGGATCTCGGCCGCGAACTCAAGCCGAGCACGGAGGAACTAAATCGCGGCGCGGGTGTGTTGGAACGTTTTGCGTATGCGAATGTGTCGAAATACGAGTGTGCTAATCAGATGACGCCCTCCTCATTCCTTCTTCCTCTCGACAACTGAATCGAATCACGGCCCCTCGATCGAGCATACCTCTCGCGCGATAATACTGCGTTAATAAATACTTTCTGCGTTTTTCTTTTTTTTCGTTCTTTTTTGCGAAAATACAAACGACGAGACGTCAGCTTGCTGCGTTAAAACGGGGCTAAACTCTTCGCTGTCGTCGCAAAGTCCTCGCGAATTTAGCGTTTTCTCGTTAATGAACCTCGCGTATTTTAAATCGTTAAACTCCTATGTACATATTCGTCTTAAGAAAACCTTAGAGAACCTTATCGTTCGTACCTCTAAATATCTCTTAATACAGTAGTTTCGATTCGTTCGACGCGAGTGTGTACGTGTATGTTTGTTTGCTTGCTTGTTTATTTGTGTATACGCTTGTGCGCAAAATGAGATTCTCCCGAAAAGATTTCTTTTCTTTAACATTTCTATCTTCGTTCTTTTTCTTCCTTTTTTTTTCGCGTACGCCTGCTATCGCTGTTTATCGAGATTTGTGCAATTATACGTGACGCTTTTCGCGTTTTGCTTTTTTTCGTTTTTATTTCATCTCTTTAGACGGAATGAGAATATACGGTATCTGTATCATCGTTAGGGCCTGCCTCGGCCCTGCCGCGCGATAAAAAACCGTTTTTAAAAATTCTTGTACGATAATCTACACCGACAGGATGCAAGAAGTAAAACACGCTCGAGATTAGATTTGTGCACTAGCAAAAATAAAATAAAAGGAAAAATAAATAAAAATAATAAATAATTTTGGCTTTTTGATATCGTTGCTGTATGCATGTGTGCGTGATATATATATTCGACGATGAATCGTCATGTTTTCTATTTTTCGTAGATACTGGTTGGATGCGCGGTCACTTTTTCTTTTTAATATTAACAACCTCTTCAACGAGGCCACGTTAGGTATGTCATTTCACTTTGCGGTTCAGCATTTTCGTTTCTCGCGATGCGGACAAGTGAAATATGAAAGAACAGCACAGAAAGAAGTTAACCGGGAAGCGAACTAAAGTAAAAAAAAAAAAAAAAGAAGAGAAAAAGCAACATCGATCTTATCTTCTCAGCTATAAGCTAATCGCTATTATCAAATACCGAGCCTTATCCCTAATATAATATCAATAAATACATCGCTCTGATTACATCCAACATGATACATGCATACTATTATGACACATGGATTGACTCTTATTACTCGCGTTATTATCTGACCTGCGCGCGAACAGCCGTCTCTCTCTCTCTCTCTTTCTTTTTAGGACCATCGACCGATCAATCATTCCACTCATCGTAAGCGGGAGAGAATCTCGCGACTCGTCGCATTCCGCGGGAAACGAACGAAACGCAGCGACTGAGAAAACCGAAATAGACTCTCCTCCGAGTTCGATCGTCCACGTCGCGCCGTGGCACCTGCATGTTATTAATCGCGATTACGAGTGCGCTAAAGCGAAGTTAATATCAATACAAACTATATTGAGACCAATCATTTACGCCCGATCGCGTGATCACGTCGACCGCGTACAAAATTGTGTCGCATTATTCCGCGAGCAGGGGCGCTTGACGTTCCGCTACCATTAATTTTCATTCATTCATTCATTCGTTCATTAATTCATCTACCCATCCATCCATTCATTTATCCACCCACCTAACCGTCCGTCCATCGAAACTTGTTCACTTTTGCTTGCACAGCAACTACGCACTATGGACACGCCAACGCATTCGTCACTACACCATCACAATGGCCTCCTCGCCGCAGAATAGGAAGGGGTACTGGTCGATCATCGTCTGGACCACGTCCTCCAGGTACGGCCTCATGGCTTCGAATCTGCCGAGGTCGTTGAACTCGATAGGTAGTAACGTAGGCCACCAGCAGATCGCCAGATTTTTGCTGTCCATGCTGTTGAGCTTGCAGTTCTCCGCGACCCTGAGGAATCGCACGGATACGCAATTAATATTGGGAATATTAAGTCCGGAATATCAAGAAATTAATATTAGAAATGTATTACATACATATATATATAATTACATTGCGACCGGTAAGTCCGAGTGTCTCTATGGACACTGGATCTCTGTAATTACTCACTTCACGAAATGTTGGAAGATAAACTTGAGAACGTCAAAGTTTACAGGATTCAACTTGTTGAGCATCAAACGCAAAGCCAATAATCTACAACTTCGGTCTGCAACCGTAAGAAATTATGAAGTTTACATTAATTCCGGGAAACTCTAGAATGCAATTCTATGAGTGATCTATAAGACAAAGGCACTGACCTTCCATGTTCATACAAGTAGACGACATAGGTTTGCCTCGTGCACCTGATACAAGTATAATATATTCTTAAAAATATTTTGCTCTTTAAAAATACAATTCTAGTTAAAATATTAAGACATACAGACATTTATAAATTATGATATATATATATATATATATATATATATATATATATATATAT